TTAATTGTTATTTTTCCGTAATTTTAAAAGAATTTATTCAATTTTTTTCATCTTGCTATGTTAATCTCATGGCTTTCAAAAAATTTCAAAAATTGCACAAAACTTTTTCAAAACTTTTCATCTTTTGTGCAAATTTGTTTGTATATCAAAAAATTCATCAAATGTTTTTTATCCATTGTAAATGAAAAAATTGACCTTATAGTTATAAAGATACATGATAATTTTTTTAAAAAACAAAAGATTTGCCCTTAATTCAATTTTTTGCTCTACACTATATCTTCAATATTCATTTACTGTGACACATATAATATAAAAAAATTTCTTCAATGTTGTTGACTGCTCTCATAATCTATTTAACTCTTGTGTCAATGAGCAAATTATTTTTTTAAAATTAATTTGACGCTATTAAAATTAATTTAAATTTAAACTAAATCAAGTTCACATTTTATTATTTGATATTTTTAATTTTTTTTTTTAATTTTATGTTTTCCTATGTAATCAAATATCATCAAGTTAATTATTTGACATTTCCAAATATCTTCAAAAAAATAGTTTCCATCTTGATATTATAATTATTCCTAATTACAATCTGTAATAAAATTATGAATATGAACATGTATGCAAATTAATTTTTCTTATAGTTTTGATACAATATGCTCCCTATTTGATTTTTGAAGTATCAATTATCTCTATTGGCTGATTTTATTGAAAAAAAAATTAGATTTTACTTTGAAAAAATATTTTGTGAGAATTATTTAAATAATAATTTCCTTCATGCAATGATGATGAAAATTCAAATTGCAATTTTCAATATAAGCATAAATTAACATGATTTTTTTGTAATTTTTCTCATCAAAAATTAACAAATAATTGCTTCACTTTACATAAACATTTCACATTAGTAGCTACTAAGTTATTCCATAGTTATAAAACTATACTAAATCATCCAATTAATTTTTAAATTTTTAAATTCTAACACAATAGATGTACATTCATCAATGAAACTTTATGACAACTGTAGTATATATTCATAAGCATTTTATAATAATTCCTAATACAATGTTTTGGGATGATGACATTTATTTGTAGATTTTCAAATTTTTTCATCACAATTTGCAAAATTTTATTTCATAGTTGATATCTATGTGTATACATCTATTCTTGTAATATAAACAAAGTGAAAAATTCAAACATTTTTATTGCATATGGATGAGCATAAACGAATCACATGTTTTAAAATTTTAATATTTCATTGTATCCAGTAGAGACGTTCAGCTTTACTCAACTGTCTTGATTGATTCATCAAATTTATCAAATATTCAAGTCAATTTTATATCCAAATATATATAAATAGAAATTCTTGTGATATTTTTTAAAAAACAACATACCTTGCAATCATCTCAATCACTTTTGATTAAACTGAACATCGTTAATAATTAAAAGAATTTTTAAATAGCATTATAGGTACTAAATTTATAAATTTTTTGAAGAGATATAAGTTTGAATTTTTAAAAATATGATCATAATTACGGTTAGTTTGTCACACCTGAAAAAAAATTTCAAAAGTTTCAAAAATATAGTTCAAATTTTAAAATCATCATTATCTAAAATTTTGATGCTAATCAAAGATTAGAATTTTATAACATCAAAAAATGAAATGTCAATATTAATATTTAATTGATTTTATCATCAAAGTTTTACTCATATAAATAAGCATTATTTTTATTTTAATACATTACATAATATTTTTTTGTTTCAAAAGATTGAATGCTATAATAACAACTCCTCATCCTTAATATAAAAACGGAGCTTTAAAAAATTGAAAGTTAATATATATCATTTTTTAATTTTTTGATAGTAGTATTATGAATATATGAGTTGATAATTTATAGCAATCTAGATAATGGATTCAAGATACATTTTTAGATTGATTTTGACTTCTTGTAAGCCTATAAAATTTAGATGTTCAACTTTTCTCTTTGCACTTGCTCTTTGAACAATTTTTTACTAATCACATGTCTACAAATATTGATGGTGATTAATACAATCTACATCATTTTAGAAGATACTTGATTTTTTTTATATGAGTAGAAAGAACTATACGTTTGAATAGCCGTTTACAAGCAACAATCTTTAGATTGTTGTTGTCATGAAGTCTAACAACTAAGTTTGACAGTGTTATATACAAATTCTTGGGGTTAAGATAAATGTTAGTCAAAGGCAAGATAACAACGACTAATTGGACAAAATGTTGAGAATAATATCTTTATAATTTACAAGATATACTCATTTGGACAAGATGTTGATGCATAAATCCTTTATATTTCACAAGGAAAACTATTAAAATTTCAAGATGAGTTTCTGAAAATTTTAATATTGCATTTGCATCTTTAATATAAATGTATTTTTTATATTTTATTTTAAAAACTTTTTATCAAGATTTTTATTGCAAAAAATTGTCATACATGTTGTATGTCTTCTTCAAGCTATTGAACTTAGAAAGTTAAAATTCCAAGATCATATTTATGTCATTGATGATTTCAAGATTGATTTTTAAATTCTTAAAAGGAAATAAATAAGCTGAATAAAACATTTAACACTTGAGTTAAATGTCTTATTTAACTCATGTTACTGACAATCAATCTATTGCAATGAGATATTAAATGCTTTATCGATTAGTAATTTATAACAAAAGACGATAAATTTTACACTGTCATATTTACAAAATGACAAAAATCATAATAGTTTGGATATATAGGTAGATTCGAGTTTATGGTTGAATCTTAAATAAATTTAATAGTTTCTTTTCTTAGAAACTATAAAAATTGATAAGATTATTCACTTTAAGAAATATTTATGTGTAAAAACCAAGATCCCTTATACATGATTAGACAATAGGATGGAAAGTTTAATATTAATGAGGATGATGAGCTCAAAAACAGACTGTAGAGCTAAAAATATATTCTATGCAATTTCCTTAAATACGTTGAGTAGTTATTGGATGGATGATAATGATACACTCCACAGTGCTTGCCAAACTTAATGTCATTCTAATGTACATATGGAACAATAAATACGAAAATAGAAAATCGCATTGCAAAGAGTAACAAAGCCAAGGTCAAGAGTTCCAATGTAGATGGACTAAGGGAGAAGCAGCTAGATAATACGCAACGCTGACATTAGAATAACCTCGACCTACATTAGAGTATAAATAGGGACAGTTTTCTAATATAATGGGAACGTTATCGTTTTCGTTGGGATGAGCGAAGATGATGCCTATATAGAGGTTTGCAGAGTTGTCGGTGAAGCTAGTATAAGTGATTTGAACGCTTCACCTTCTTGTCCTAGGCAGTTGCAGCTCGGGGTGCTGGATTGTAGATTCTTAGCTTAGCTCAGTGCAACCAGAATTCACAGAGAAGTTATACTCTTTACTCCTAGCTTAGGCTCGCCTTTTGTTATTCTCGCCAGTTCCTAGAAGCTAAGAACCTCGTGGTTGGACATGAAGAGTCCACGAATGAACACCGATGTAGACTGAAAGTCAGAAACTCTCTTACAATACTCGGAAAAGTTCTGAAAATGTCGCATTATCTGCATACAGAAAATGCGATATTTTCAATCCGAAATACGTTGTTTGTACAGTACTGTACGTCTAGAATTGCTCGGGAAATCTGCTTTGATCATGAAAGTGGTTAAAGATTCAAGCCCGTCTGTAATCTTCTCTAATACCAAGTTGGTAATCTAAATACTTGCCTGAACACAGAATCTAAGATGAGCAGGATTAGCGGAGAGCGTTGTCACCGACGAGGTGGTCATCATCACACAAAGAAAAGGAAGACGGATGGAATGGTCTATGCCTAGACATGTAGACGACTACAAGAGACTCTTTTTAGCTGGCCAACGACATCGTTCTGTACCTGTCTAGAGTGCTAGATCGAAACGCTACCTGTCCTCTGTACCAGAAAATAGAGGACTATACGAAGACAACGCCAACTCCCAACTGATAAGACGCTTCTTCGATGACTATGAATCTCAGATGTCGGACTTGAAAGCTTTTTGACATTCCAGATTCTGTTGTGCAGAAAGCTTTTCTGGACTTACATGTTAGACTCATTCTGAATCTGGATAAGAGCATTTGAAGTAAGAGCAACTAGAGTGGTTAGGAGAGCTCAATAGCCGTCATTCGAGTGTAGGTACTTAAAGCTACAAACCAAACGATCTGCTACTCAGCCTGCATGTTGTATATGGCAGGTTACTCATGCTTGCCCTGCCTCCTAGCGACACTGCAAATTTCAGAGACGATTAACAAGTGAGATTGTTTCGGTTCTAACAAGCCAGACAAGTCACCCTATCTCATGTTGTGGATCTATCCCAGCCGAGTATATTTTCTCATCTTGTTGGCCACGACGGCAACGTGTGATTCCACAGCTTGTTGTTCTTTGACAACGTAACAATCTTGCCAGATCTATCTTCAGAGGTGATCTTAGACTGTACATACCCAAGTAACAAAAATGGGATCTAGGGTCAAACGATCTGTAGGAGGAGTATACAGTTACTTGGTAATATTTACCAAGTTAATGTATTCTAGTATGTATGTAAGCAAACATCTAAACCTTTCCTCTGCGCAGCACAGACAGACATCTCCTGTAAATTGTGAATGAAAACAAAAGGTGAAGGGAGATTCGAAGAAGAGATTCACGCTCGCAACTTCGTATATTTTTAAGCTTATCCCGCACACGCTGATGCAGATTGTCGGGCTTGTAGTACTTCACCAATTGTAAAGGACCGATTCTGATCTCTGTGCGACAGACGACACTGTTAGATACAGTCCAAGTCATTTTATAACTGTGGATGGTATGTACTAAGACGAACATCGCTGCGAATTCTGCAGATCAGGATACTGCAATCGCTGAGAGAAGCTCGAAGGAAATTCGTTAAAATCTCTCGCCGACATGTCTGAGCAATGATATTCCCTTGAAATCATGACTCGCTTAAAACAAGACTGTGATATTGTCCTCGACAGCTGTCCGTCTCGACACACAGCACAGTCACAGACTTCTCTCTGTAATAAGTATATCCCTGTCACCTGTATGACAACGCTACGACTCACTTGTTCACGTTCTGATAGATAGAAACAGGTCTCCTTCGATCATCATCAGCATACGGAGTGACCGACACCGAGTAGAACCTGATACTTTATCAACCTTAATGGTGGAAACTGAACAAACCAGTAATAAACGTCAGCATGAGAGAAGTTGAGACTGGTTGTTTGACTACGCTTGAGACTTTTTCTAATGTTAATGGATCGATACAGCCTTTTCAAGTTACGTCGGAACTGAGAACGTTAATGGTGTGCGTGTAAATGGTTCCGTGTACATTGCGACTCCTATTATTCTCTGTTTCTAATCCGAGCCCGACAAACCGCAACGGCGTGTGCAGCATAGCATAGGACTTTGTGATCCTTAGAGATCAGCCTGAGAAGATTCCTACATCACTCGAAGTACATTAGTTGCTGCCGCTTTTGTAAGATGTCCTCGGCCTGAGCTACTTACTAAACCTGTCTTAGCTTCAAGCAGAGCAGAGTATGACGAAAGGGCAACCCATTCTGTCAAACGCAAGCAAATGTAGAAGCCTGATTCCTCCAGTCCTCCTCGCGAAAACGGCAATACTCTACACCATCTCCACGCTGACTGACATACGTACGAAGAACATTTTCTCCATCAGATGAGGATCACTTCAGACCAGCAATCATGTTTTCACTTGCAACTGGGACCTGGTAAAAGAGATAGGGATGTGAATCTCCCGATAGTAGGATATTGTACACAGCAACATGTGCTCACCTACGCCGGTATCTCACAATTGCAGGTCGAAGCCGGTGCAGTCGCAAGGCACGAAAGACCAGCCGACGGATGGCAGAAGCAGAGTAGCCCCGTAGAGATCTCATATGAAGGTATGCGTACAACAGAAACCCGAGGGAAGTTCATGTGACGGCTACGATATGATTACGCGGGGGAGTGATGCAAGAAAAGTCAGCACGATGTCGATCGTCGACTGATCATCGTGCAAAGGAATCGTCCCGATCGCTCGATGTTCCTTGCGCCATTTCGGTTTGCGCGCAGGCTCGAGACAAGCTCCGGGACTCGGCTCCCACGAGGACTCTTTCGTCCATATAGGCTCGAACTGACGGGTGTGACCGGTCAACCGGTAACCCGGGTGACGTCACGCAGGTAGGCTCTGTCTGGCTTGCCGGGCCAGAGGCCAGAGATTGTGCGACTTCCGAGATGTCACTGTGTTTCCCAACACGAGAGGCGCACCTTGCGATCCCAGAGTCCCAGAGTCTCAGAGTCTCAGCGCAGAAGCTCAAGTAGCCGCAAGAGGACGAGCGAGATAAGCATCTAGCGGTCAGAATTTGACTCTATGCTCTTTCTCACAAAGTGAAGGCTCCTGAGCGCCAGGGCCTGTTGAGACATGGCCCAAACCCTTCTGACACCACTCTTTTCATTTAGCTCTGGAGCTTACACGGCCACAATTCTTAAAGTATCAGTGATCCGAGTCTTGCATGTCCTTGACGTGAAACTATAATTATCGTTCTCATGTTTGATTACTTGTCCTTTCGTTTCTAACCCAACGAGATCAGTGACGTATGTCAGGGTAACAAATCCCGTACCCTCTTCACAATTATTTGCGATTTTACTCACTATCCTGCCTCTGCCTCTGCCTCGGGCTGCAACGAGGGCGGCTTAGAAGTTTGCTCCTTCTTGTCCCCGGGGCCTGGCCCTTACTCTCTACAGCCAATGTTCCCTGGCGCCGGCACTCAACGTCGTCGTGACCGAGATTCTGCCATTATCTCGAACCTTCGGAATTGAAGAACTCTGCAGTAACAATTCAGAACATCAGATCCTGTTTACTTCACGAGGCAGAGTAAGGGCATTTATTGTCTCGAGACGGGTGATATTTCCGGAGTAATTCACTCGAGTTGAAAAAAAGGGATGAAGATCCGAGAGGAGATTATCTGACAAAGTAAAATTGTCAATGCGTAGGGCTGAACACTCTACGGCGCCGAGCTCTCACTCACTCATGACTCTGCTCGCCTGCGCATGTGTCGTATACAATTAAGATATTTGGATAAAGAGATAGTGTGACTTGGGAGCCCGCTTTGTTATCCTTCCATTTGGCAGAATGATCTCTCGTCCGTGATTGTTGACTCCTCTCACGGAGAATCTGTCGTCTCTCAAAGAGCATATACTGCATTTCCGTTATTCTCTCTCGCATGTACGTCATGCAACTGAATCTGATTACCCTCGCCGCACGTTAGAGATCAAAAGATGCCCGAGCGTATCGTGGCACGGCCTGCTCACCTCTCAGTTGAGCAGAGAGCAACGACATATTGAGTCCAGCAAGTTTGAAACCTCCGAATCACGGATCCTTCTCGACACATCTCAGAAGCGTCCATGCACAGATTACACACTCGATTCACATTTTATACTGTATATTGACAATTTTATTGGGGTGTAGTATACACACAAACTGATTTGCCTAGACTACGCTGTACAAAAGGACAGTTCACCCAAAGTGTAAGCCTGGCGTGTCCTGAAGAAACCCTGACCCAACATCTACCTATCGACCCATCTCCGCGAAATCTCCGGGGAGAGAACCGGATGCACTAGAGGAGCTAAGCTACCAACCACTGACTGACTAAAGGTAATGATGATTTTGCTACAAGGGGGGGGCCCAAAATACAAGCTTCTTCAACACCTAAACAGAATTTCTCTGCGAAGCTAATGTACATGCATGCGTCTGAAATTCAAGATCTCGATAGTAGGATGCCGAATGCACAGCGTAATTTTCCACACGAGAGACCTACAGCTTTCCTTGCGTAGGCCACCGCCACTAACCCGAGACATTCCAAGTCTCAAGAAACGAAGAAATCTGGCAGGGCAACGAGTTCCTGCTTCGCGTGATCGGACTCGTCGAGAGGTGGGATGTCGAACCGTATCGAAAATGTCGAAGGACTTCGGAAAATGAGCTCGTCTGATGATGATGCAGCCACTAACAGCTGGTTGGTTGGTTGTAGTGTACAGAAGTTGGAAACCCAAGGCCGCGGCGGCTGCTTCACGCCGAGTAACTGTAAGTCTGGAGTCATGCATGTGTCAACCGAGATCTCAAGACGTGGTGAGACGACACAGGTCGGTGCCCGCAACCGATTGCCAGAGCAAGAAAACGAATCGACGGCCGATTTGTGCAACCGAGACCATCTTCCGACGATCCATCTCGCGTGATATGCTGGAGGCGCTGCGCCTTCTTTCCCGAAGGCCAGAACGATCCAGGGTTAAGGGACACCAGTTCCTATGCACGGAACATGGCGAGGGAAGTTCTCGTGAGGGTCTTCTAAACCTGCAGTATACTGAAACAACTACGGTGACTATAGACCAGAGGGACCTCAATCTTACAGGGGAGGGAGGGGTGAAATGGGCTGCATGTGTGCAGACATGCAGCTCCTGGAAGAGCGAACCATTCGAAACGCTGCTGCTGGCGCAGAAAGACCAAAAAAACCCGAAACAAAAAAGCCGCGCTGATGATGAAACATGACCATATCAAAATTTTACCACCAAACTGGAGAGATGGTGAGCCGGCGTGCATGGTCGACGGCTGACCATCGACGCCGTGCTCATTCGGCATTCACCGGCGCGTTCTCTGCCGTTCTCTGATTCTCCTTGCCGGCGTCAGGCTCCGTGGCGTAATTCTTCGGTTCGGCGGTGATCCGAGTTGGAGTCGAGAGTTTCGGAACGGAATCACAGACGGCCTCGTGCGATCCTGAAGTCGAGATGCCGGATTTGGCATCGCTGTGTGCTGCTGCTGCTGCTGCTGCCGCGGAAGCATCGACGCTGGCTCGCGGGCTGTTGATCGACAGGCTCTGCGGCTTGGGCAGGTGCAAGTAATTGAACACGCTGAAGTCGTCGAAGTAGCGCTGACAGTTGTCTTCACCGCTGGATCTGTTGATATTCACTCTGTAGAAGGGATCGTAGAAAGGCGCGCCTTGACCTGTTGGCATGCCCACAGCCATTCTCCTCTTCGCGTCTGAAGGGTTCCTCTCCCTGACCATACAAATCCTCGCTCGCCACGAGGATCCCTTGCAAACCCCTCCTCTCTCGATCCCACTCGTTCCAACCCAAATGCTCCTCGCGCCTCGCCAATCGACACGCTCCAATCCTCCCACACACCTCTCAAATCTCACCACCTCCAAAATCTCGTCCCACACACACACACAAACAAACGCGAACACGAGAAAATCTCCGAAGACTAAGAATCCCGACGACGCAACACGGCGCTGGCTGATCCGGCACTCACACCAGACTCTCGTCGACAAGCACGACGACGAAGAGCACAACGACCACGTGGACAAGATCCGATCCCTGGCGCGCAATTCTCACAAGAAGTCTAGAGCCCTCAGAACTGGCAAGCCCGCGCTATTTATACTGAAAAATTCGTGGGCCGAGGGCGAGGCGAGGGAGAGGGCGACCCCCGAGCAGCACGCCCAGGCCAAAGGTGTGAGTGGACGGGCGGGGCTGGCGACGAAGGACGAAGGACGAAGGACGACGACGACGACGACGCAGTCGTCCGTTGCGCAGGATGAATGAAACTGGTCAGAATTGAATTGTGGTTCAAAGCCTGCAGAAGCAGCAGCAGCAGCAGCAGCAGCAGCTTTGGAAACTTCGTGACGCCGAGTCGCGTGTGAAGAGCCGTGCAACGAGGAGGGCGGAACTGCCGCGCCGAGTGGCAAGCAAAGAAAACGGACTGGCTGGAAGAAAACTGAGGCCTGGATTTGGCAGAAGGCGAAAGATGCAATAGACGGACGAACCGATCCGACAGCGCATTTAATGCTTCAATCCGCTTGCCTAACCCCTCTTCCGGAGCGGTCTCCGCGAACCTTGGTTCAGTCAAACGCCGCACAACTGCAGTCGGTCATTTGCTGTTCCTCTGCACTGTAACTCACGCTGTTCCTTCGCCATTTCCAAACGGTTAATCTCCTCCCTCTCCTCTTTTCCTCTGCAGTTACTTTGATTTCCTCTTTTATTGGCCATTGGATGGGATAATTCTTTGTCCAACTTCAGTGAGGTAAAGTTGGTATTTCGGTCAAGTGTCCCGTATATGTGTTTCTTATGATTGAAGGAAAAGGTCAAATAATTCAGATAAATATATGTAAACCAAGTGACTGAAAAACGAAAAAAGCAGTAAGTCATACAATTTTCTCATATCTAAATTATTTTGATATCAAAAGCCTTAATATTATTTCATACAAAAGTTACTAACATCTAAGTATTTTATTGTGAAAAATCAAAAAGCTAAAAAGTTGAGCCCAACACTATTCAAAAGACATAAATACAAGAACAATGATTCAATATATTTATAAGACGGCCGTTTCATGTTCTTCCTCACCTTTTGACACGAGCATACTTTGCTCCTTGTAAAATTGGTCTACATGCTGAAACGGAAAAATTGGCTAGTATTTTCTAGCTCAGAAAAGGTGTATGTATATCTTAAAGTAGTACACAAGAAATCGAGATGGGAGCTTCAGAAAGAAAGAACCCGTAAGGGCAGATCCTGACATTGAGGGAAAACTGACAAACGCGTATCATTTTCGTCGGCTTAATGAGAATTACGACCACAAATCCCCTAAAAAATGATATCTAACTGAGCTCAAAACTCTACACAAAGTAAACTGTCGAAAGGAAATTCGCACTGTTACAAACCATGGAAAAAGTAAATGATTGGAAGCAGAACATGTAGTAAGTCAGTTACGCTTGCCTTTGTGCTTCTTACTTTTCAAGACAAAGAGTTAGTTAAGCCTTTTATATCTCCCACAATATCGCCGACAGATCTCCAACCATACCACAGACATAGTGACGCCAACAAGTTCCACCAATCTAACCGAAGAATATATTTCACTTTCCACCTACCTATTGGGATCTCGTCTAGGATAATGGAGGTTGGTTTTTGTTCTACTGATTCCACTAACATGGTTGGACCACGTTCATCTTGGCATCAGTGGAATATAGTCTGGAAGTACGTGTTCGATTCTGACATATGTACAGTATAGTAATCTCCTCCGCTGTACTATGGTCGATACTCCTTGTTCCCGCCTCTTCTTGACCATAGTTGACCACATTGGTCTCCGCATAGTTGGATCACAACACGTTACTACGGTAGGGGATACCTCTACCTCATCGTGGTTGGTTCATTCTCTGCAGTTTTTCCTCCGACGTGGTTGGACCACAACGATCTTGGCACAGAGTAGCGACGATTTGCGTGTGACACGTTTTCCTCATGCATGGTCTGGGTGCCATTGTCGATACTTCTATTGGGATGCAACTGGATGGCAAAATGCTCGAGAAACCAATAGAAGATATTTCCACTTTTTTGCAAATCTGCTGTGGCATGACACGTTTCATCGTGAACTCAGTCAGTTCTTATGTGCTCACCGACCACAAAGTGGTGCAACTTCTTCCAATTCAAGTACAAGTGTACCAGAAACTCAAACTCGTCAATTCTACGATGTACTCATAGTCATTACAGAATTATGTTGACACATAGGCAGAGGTTTCAAAACGTCCATGGCAATCCTGCAACATTGTTCTTCTGTCGAATGATAAGTTCCTATCTTTGGGGTCGGATTGAGCGAGCAAGTTTAGAACTTGACAACAATCTCGCGCAGGGTTGGTTCCTTTTTATATCATCAACTTGGGTGTCCGGTACAAGAAGGGGAATCATTTGTTCGGAATATTCCAGAACCTTACGTGCATGTTAAGATATTTGAACTTATTTATATTAAGTAGATGATCGACTTATGGAGATAAGCAGGAATCGCGATGCTGTGATTGGGACCCTCCGGATCATGGGGTATAGTAGCTACGAGGAAAAGGTGAAGATCCTTTCGAGATTCAAGTTCCCGCACATTCTTGGTGGGAAGTATATTCTTCGCTGGATACTTTAAGACATATATATACACATGAATGAGAGTCCAGATTCAGGATCAGCCTTTGAGCTAGTTTCATCCCGGCATTGTCGTAGACAGTAGGATGCACAAAGTTGCATGTAAATATACATCTTGGTGTACTACACCGGAAGCAACATAGCGTAATTCCTTATCTGATTTTGGATGCTTATTGATATAAGCAAAACTACATATTTTGATCTTGTCTGTTGTGTGTGCATGGAAGAGAGAGTATTATTATCTCATTACATGTATCTGATCTATGGCATCAGAACTTCTAAGCAATAAGAGGAACATCGTCTCATCTCATGTACGTGCGTAAAAATATCCTAATCCCAACAATTCACAAGCACGTAAGGAAACTGGTGATACCTACGATGAGATGAGGTATAAATTAGTTTAGGAATCTCTGCTCTTGAAGACCTTGTGTGTGACAGTCCTACTATGTAAAGGACTGACCACTCTGTGGTCCCTGGTTTCGACTATGTAAAGCAGTGCCATGACGTGGTATAGGTCATGGCTCGGACCTGGCCCATGTGGGGCACGAGCCAAACCTGGGACGGGTGGACTTGACGTTGGCGCTGGGAGTTTACGGCTGACGCAGATCTTGGAAGAGACGCATACCGGTACATATGGACCAGCGCCATTATGCTGAAGAACGCTGTTCCATCAACCGCAAGCACGCCGCCGGTCCTCCCAGGGGACAGACAGACCCAGAGCCCCGCGAGGACCGTCGATCGCGCGCATCCGGCATCGATCGTCCGGTCCCCACCTGGCGCGTAGGGACCCGGGCTACGTCGACCCCGGCCCTTGCGGACATCTAGACCGCCGGCGGCGCGTCGCAATTCTTCGGTCTCCTGACCAGATCCGAACCTTTTCGAACCGGCGTGCCTTCGAGCACCATCCCCGGCCGTCGCCCCATCGCTCTCGGCGGGGGCGACCTGCCCGCAAACTGGTTCGTGCGGCGATGGCCGGTACCAAATCCCGGTCTCCACGGTCAATGGTCGCAGGACTAGAGCCTCTAGACTGACTGTCGGAAAAAGGAAGCAGTCGACCATATCGCCTTGTACCTAACAGTCCAACTACTGGATAACTTCCTTATCACTCACGCCGGTCTGTTTCCCTCCCCCGCCCGCGCCTTCCTTTTCCCTCCCTTGCTCCGCTTTTCTGCGGTAAGTTTGTCCGTCTCGCTTTGCCGGCCCCTCGCTTTGTTGTCACCCACGACTGTTTTACGACCCATTGAATGGCATGAGGTTGGATCGAAGGATCAAAAGCTGAACCTGCGTTATCGACTCGAAAGGCGCAAGTCTGCGGCACATTGTAGCGCTCTACTCGGAGACAACGAGCGTGTCCTCCCTTTCTATATTTCAAGATGAAATTTTTACTTCTGAATACTTCCCTCCACCTCTTCTTCTTCTTCTTCTTTTTCTTCTTGTTCTTGCAATCGGGCTTTAAAAAACCTATTTCGTTCTCCGTCTCGAGACCTTAAGGACCACATAAAGTGCAAAGCTAGACCACATTCCGTGAGCTGTGGCCTTTTTCTTGTTTTATACGAGTTTCTTTTGTAAAGATAAAATTTGTTTGAATTACTTAGCTAACGCAAGAATTGATGGGGAGGTGCACATTCCTGCATCTCCTCTCGTCGATGCTTTCTTCGCGAGAGAGAAAGCATGCCTCACATGGACGTTCGCACTTTACATCGTTCCTCTTCGTTGCACTCCAGCCTCGAAACTTTCATCACTTGTTCGTGATCGTCCAAGTACTTATCCTACTCGAAGACCATACACCATGATCTTGCATTGCTGACGATCGGAAACCCTTTGGGACGCGTAGTAATCTAGAAATCTCTCTCACTATATTGTCATGTGCACGACACTTCGCACCCAACCCTTTACCGAGTTTGCGAATGACACAGGCCATGGTTGTTTCTGGGAGAGTCCAGAAAACTTTTCGAGACTATTTTAAAGGCCATGAAGATGCAGATCATGTATCAACTTGCGAAAAGAAGAAGGCCCAAGAACCCGGCAAAATAATGCAGGCGAAGCGGACGATGAAAAGCAGATACTGAATACTGAACGGATAAAAGGAGGATGGGTCACATCACTGTTTGGATACAAGGTATACCATATAGGCCTGAAAAGACAGCTACCATATCCAACCCCGTACTGTGTGAAATTGGTGGACAAGGAGTAAAGATTCTGCACAACATATGTTCCGAAGTGAGGCAAGCACGATTGGAGAAGAGATGCAAAGGCGCGAGTCAGGAATATAATATCTTGGAACACAGTGTTCAGTGTCGGACTGAGGAAGGTCATGTAACTCGTGAGTATTCAACACGCAACTATCAGCCTTGTTTGATGATTATCTTATCGACATGGTCAAGGAGCAAGCAAGACTCACAAATCATGCCTCCATTGATATTTGAGTTATTTGCGCATTTAATACATTGTCATGTTAATCTGTGTTCTTCTTATCTACAACAAGAGGAGCTGGGCACTGGCAGCCATCTAGTTTGAATCTCGAATCATCAGCCGAAAGGGTCTCAAAAGTACCTCCCAGCATGGACCTGGCTCGCACTGAATGTCATGGGGCCATACTCTGTGGTCACTTTATACTAAGCGTGCTTTGGGTACATCATCGATCTTTTTTGTTTTCGATTATCAATGACTCCGCATATTATTTAATTTATAGTACAAGTTTTTAATCATGCCTTCTGAGTTTTAACTAAGATGATACTTCGAATACGCTACAGATCTGTTTAATTGCCTCATCGGGACCCTCAAGTACCATATTGATCTCTCCATGTGTTTTATGTTCCATGGGGCTGCTCATGTGGAATGACGCGTGACAAAGCTATATCAAAATTTACTTTGACAGCTCTGAGGAGATGGTGTCATGTCATTCGCTAAGATACGGTCTAACTAAAAGATAAGTACTTGTAACAAAGCATATGTACAGATGTGAAACTTGGTTGGTAAAAAGGATTTTGTATCTATTTTGGGGAGCCCTGGTCTGTAATCTGATGACATGTCTTGTTCATATTGAAAGTCACAACCATATGCATATTTTTGTCTACTCATGATAGATTTGAAGTAGTCCAAAGTAGAAATTTCCCAGTTCACAATTTCCCAAGAATGAATATAGCTAAGAAATTACTTATTAGTAAATAGTATTACCATTGCAGACTTTCAGCTTGGGTGGAGGTTGATTTAGTAGGTCATGCGTAACAATTCTTGTTGTTGAGACCTCGGAGGGCCACATTGCTTGGGAGTGCAGAAAATTATATTCTTTCTTCATACGAAGAGTGGATATGGCTTCGACTGCAATATTTCTATGTATACATATGTATATTACACCATTGCTGATGAGAATGAAGAGTTCATTCGACGATTTGACAGTATAAAAGCATTATCGGTGTTGATGTACGGAGATGTATATGTAAGTGTGTTTTTTTCCCTCTTGATGAAATTAACTTGGATATAAGAAGGGTATAGTTAATGTAAGAGCAGGAGACTCCGTTCCCAAACATGATGTACCGATATGACATTTAAGAAAGTACACATTTAAGTTTATCTATGAATATGAGTCAAGCGCTGATACTTCCTTCAAGTGAATGTTTCTTCACATGGCTTACTTTTGACGTTCAAGAAAAGCCTCGTTCTCATATTTATGTGGATGACAGTTCTACACGTGCAGAGTTAGGAGGCTCAACTCTACGGATAAATCAAAAACATATCTTCTCTGATCTTTTGTTCAATTTATTACTGGACATTAATTATCAAAATGACATCTATGTGACTTACCTGCAGACTGAAATTATACAGATTTGCTCGTATCTTGCTGCAGCCTTACATCATCACTTTTGTATTTTGCTACTGCAGCGTACGGCCATAAGTACTCGCCAACTTCTGAGAGCAATCTCCGATAGTTTCAACAAGTACAGGTATATATCACACATATAACCCAGAGGAAAAGAGTACAAATTCGTATAGACAAGACAACTCTGGGAGTCTGGGTACTGGAGGTAAAACCCAGCGACAAACGGATGACGGGGAGAAGCTGGTGCAGGAAAAGACAACGGCGCAGGACACATGAATGCACGAAACGACTTCTACTCCGTTCCCTGCGTTCTAGTATGTTCCACGACACGTGTCCTTCCAAATCTTGCTGCGAGCTTGGCCCGAAGGAAAGAAGAACAAGTTGAGTTCATGCTCGGAGGAAGTCAGAGGAGCAGAAGAGGATCGCATGGAAGTCGCGACTTTGCTCGCCTGAAACTGTGGACTCTTCCAAAGTTCCCAGAGTCGGGGGGATCCAGAGATTCCATTCCTCGCAGGATAACGCGCGTGTTGGAGGACGACCGAACAGTCACGCGGTGTGACCTCCGGGCCCCCATGCTCTGTCTAGTTCAGTCGCTGCTTCTTTCCCGGATTTCCGTTACCCTGAAGGCGGTCCGACTGATAACTTGGTCTTGGCTTAAATTAGACTTGAGAAATACGAGGATCCCCGTCTCGCTAAAGCCAAGTCTTGTCTTGTACAGCCTGTCTTTTTCTCCAGTAGTAAATGAGTTTGTCCACTGGATGCAGAGGAGGACCCTTTCATGTCGAGTTTTCTCATCCGAGCGGGTCGTGCAAGGCCACGTGCTAATCATGAACTGGCTCAAGTCTTGCTCGCACATCGCTCGCGATTAGCAACTTATATTGCCCGATTCGTCGATCGTTCTGACAATGGACCGTTCAATTCTCCGCTTTGCTAAAAGGGTGGAGACTCAAATTTTCTCTTCCTTTTCGCAAGCAATAGTCCGCCGACGCTGTAACGATTTTCGCAGTCCATGCGTCTCCCTTTTCAGTTTCACCGACAAAGTGTTATGGCCCCGACAGAAGATATCATTGTATAGCTATTTCTACTATTTGACATCTCCAGCAAAATCTAGGCGATTCAACTCTACCCTAGCTTTTCCTGGTAACGATGCACTCATGTAACGCTTTCCATACATCACCATACCAATCAATGGTCACCGAAACATTTGTGATTCTATTTCATATGTATATTGCTTTATTTGTTTGAAACTCAAATCGTCAAGACTGCTAAAAATAAACAAATAAATAAATAAAAGGGAAAAGAAAAGAAATAATACCAGTCTTTAATTGTACACAACGAATCAAAATATACTTTACAAGAGCGTTGGAATACTTTTAGCCCAGGGGCTGCACCGCCAGACGGAGTAAACAATGTGTAAATGGTACTCACTTAAAGTCCATTAAAACAAATATAAATAGGTCCGAGTTACTTTCTCAAAAGGGCAAATAGAGTTTCAGCATACTGTTCACATATTCATTTATTAATATATCCGTGTTCTTTTGAAGAAGAAAATGAAGCGCTATTCCGAGTCCTAGACGCCTTTTTCCGAACATGTTTTGTATAATAAATACTCAGGTTCACTAGCACGACATCCGAGAGAGAGAAAATTGGAGATGAGGGAAATTCGTGGTGGAAAAGTGATGACGCCCACGCAACGGTGATTGATTCACCGAGAGCTCAAACCAGGGACCCAGTTTCGAAATCTAGGACGCAACTAATGAGCGACTCTTGTCTAGGCTGCATACTTTTGGCGTGGGCTACGACTAGAAAACATTAAGATTCAAATGTGGAATGTGGTGTCCACCGTTTGATGGTACAAAAGCACCGACTGCCCCAGAGGGCGCCCGTTCATGGCAGACAAGAGGAAAAAACTGTACGCTGGGCCACACACACACCCGCGGCCTCGGAACAGCAAGAATCAAAGTGGCTCGGGAGGTAAACCTCGAGCAAGTCTTGTGTGATGTGCACTGAGCTTTTGAGCCCCACCAGCAGGGGAGGGCGATCGAGCAAATAGTTGGTTTGTCCCCTTTCGAATACGGACAGTTTGTAACTAAGGGATGATCTGTTAGAAGGCCGAATTTAGAGCGGCAGTTGAATCCTATGGAGCATAGGACATGTCAAGTTGAATTATTCTACCCGACCTTGCTCGCTCGCTCGCTGGGACCACGCTCGACACCAGGGGCTATGGAGTTCTAGTACGCCTGCATGTTGGCGGCCATTTGGATGTGCTTCTTGACATGGTTTGATCATTTTCACTCACAGTACTCTTCACACGTATTTGGTCCGTGCTCGAGGAACTCATCAGGCCAATCCTTGAAAAGCACATAGGCTTCATGCTTTTGTGTTGGAAAGCTGCCTGTCATGATCATCTTCCTGTCCCTCGGTGATTTTTTCCTCCATTTTTTCATTTTTCTTAAACATTCGTGTGATTTTGTTCCCTTTTCCATATATATCTTTTCTCGACAGATATGAAGACAATGAAACTGCTGACCAAGCGCAGGAATTTCAAATCTATTCTCGTGATTGTGGTTAGCATGAAGTGCTTCGAGTCGTACAAAGTATCATTCCTTCCGTGTGTTTCCAACATGCAAATTGTTCAAACGTATTCCAGTCTATCGCGAAGTTCAGTCTGAATGTATGCCAAAGACAACTAGATCAGATTTCTTGACAACCTTCATGGTCACTTCGGTGTGACCTCGCAATGGCGCCTTGCGTTTGAATCCGTGCAGCAGCAGATCCGGATGCACAAGTGGTGCATTGTGCAACTTGTCATTTCGGAGGAGGGGCATACGATGACAAAGATGGCGTAACCACAGAAAAGCCAAGGATCGCCCAACCTAACTGCACAAGGCAATGTAAGTATTCTGAACCTTCGAGCTACATCACTTTCTTGTCTTGTACTTCTGGGATATCACCGAGCAAGGATGTCGAGAAGCCAAACAACCTATATTATATAAATACTTTAATCCATAATTCAAGAAAGTTGCACTGGAGTGCGATCTGTATTGCTATTATATTGCGATATAAATGTAGGATCACGGTTAGTACGCCAAATACAAAGTATGAATGCTCTTTGAAGTTTGAACAATTCATGCCCCCTATGCATGTATATACTTTTGGGGAGTCTCGAGTGATGGTTGTATAAGGTGGAAAGAGAATATGATTAGAATGTCATTTGTGACAAGAAGCATGCATTTGGGAACAAACATTGTGGTCATGTGAGCAATATACCCTTTATACAAAAGATATAATTACTTCTACGTTGAGCAAGGGAGGCTATTTTAAAACCTCATATTGACCTTTCATGCCGAAATTGGAGTGGATCTATTGGGTTGATGAATTGAGCCAATTTTAAACATTTGAAGTACTTTTCTTTTGCATAAAATGATACATGTGCACCGAGCGAGAGGAGAAAATTTTATTGACAAAAATTCATCGGTTTGAGAGCTCATCCTGATTGCTAGAATGCTATTTTATATCACATCGAATGGATGTGAATGCCAAGGATTTTTCTTCATATTCATGCAGCATTATTTGAGCTCTAAGCTCTTTATAACAACATAAAAATCACAAAAAAAGTTCCTTGGTGAATTTGGTTGTAGGATTGTTTTGACAAGCATAATCTCTCGAACAATGACCTCTCGGCTCTATCTGCTGATAACAAAATGAAGAAATCGGACGTCACACTAATCAATGTGTTTATGTGTGAATCTTGTCGTAGTTGCCATATCATGCTTATGCTTTTACGACAATGTTCGACCGGAATTCCCAAATATCAATCACTTACGCTTGCATTCAAGCATACCTGTTCAGCTTTATCCGTGAGACCTCCTTAAACAAAGACTACTAAAATGTAGTGAGAAAGTTTTTTGCTCTGCTTAATTCTTCAGCTTAGAGCAAGCCACAAGAGCTTGAGTTTGAATGGTATGAATTTTGAATTCTAATTTAAATGAACATCAATATAATTTTCGGCAAAAAAATCAATTTTTAACATTAATTCAAAAGTTGAATTCATATTTCAAACAATTGATGGAACAAAAGAGACACCATTCTTTATTTTTTCAATTTAAATTTTTTAAGAAAACCATAGAAAATGAGTTAAGGAAAAATGGCTCTCACACGTTAAAAAAACTTTGAATTATGAACTATATATATATTTATATTTATTGTGTGTGTGTGTGTGTGTTATAGATTACATCACTATTTCTCTTTTTATACTTATCGATACTAGACTTGATAAATCGTTGAAGTATGTAATAACAGAATTTCTTGGATAAACCGCGAGTGGGCGAAAAACAACCAAGCTCTCAAACTATAAGGCTACATAAAGAATTCAATTTTGTTTGTTTATCTAGCATTGGAGATGTAGAGGTACGGATGTGGATTTTACAAACCTTTTCAAACGTATCTTTCGTATGACTTATCTTATGATTCGCACAAGATTTGGAAAATAATAATGTGTTCTCCATTGCATAGCAGTCATGACACCAACTGATGTAAGTGAAGTTGTGAACAGTTTGTTCGAATCCCCGCTAATAACGACATTGCCATATTCTGAATGGGGTTTAGCCAAGCTGTATTTCTACTATATCAAAAGATTAGGAGACCAGAACAGGCGACCTTCGTTCTCCAATGACGCTAGTATGAGCATTCTAGTTGTCCACAATTCAAAATTTTGTAAACAACAGCAGGATGCTACACTTCGGCGTTCGAAGCATTGGCAAGTTGAAGAACTGTCAGCTAGCCCTGAAATGATTATGGCTATCACGAGTATCCGGGAATGTGTGGTTTTCCTTTGTATCTCTCATGCATGACAACTACAGTGATCAGTTGATACGTAGTCGTCATCTCCAAAAATAAAGCTATCGAGGTTGGTGCCTTGGTGAGGGGTTTGCTTTCATGCTGCTGTCATCTCTACCCTCGGGCTTTTCACTGTACGCTCTGAAGTCGCTCTGTGATCATCGAAGAAAGGCACATATGGAATTGGTAAACTCACTGGTTCTCATTTAAGAACTGAAACTTGGAATTAACTCTAAGATCTGGCATGGCATACTCTCCCTTGGGTAACTGGGGTGACTGATGCATTGAGATTGAAACGAGTGTGCTATGACCTACTCGTGGCTGTGCATTGTGCCTGTGAGTATTTGCTCCACAAGCCTTCCAGTCAGGTGAAGGTTGACTTCTGTTTCACTATGCCCTAGCTCTAGAAAAAGTAGCTGCCAACAGCAAATCGTGAACCTTCTCCGTAGAGAAGGTAAACTGTACCATGAACCGAATCTTGGACGACGCGAAATGGAGAAACGAGGTTTCACTTTTTCATATATACCAGTCCGATACCCAAGCCCCGGAGAACCATCATCGCAAAAAACTGACAACAATGAATTCATGCTCTGCTACGCTTACTCGTCGCACACAACTGTGAAGGCTTTGTCTTGAACTATTTTGTGCACTTTATTTCTTTTCAATCACTCTCAATTTTGCGCTTCTACTTCTAGGGTTGACAGACATTTCCTCATCACTCGGAGCAATGGGCCTCTTCGTAAGAATTTTGGCATACCTGCCTTCAGCTACATTCTTTATCCTTCCACTTCTTTCCCCAAGCTCGTTTGTGAGTGATTTTTTCCTAATGTATTTGCTATGTCTCGTTTCGCCAGGAATGTGGTTATACTCTTGAGGAGCCCTTACATCAGAATCTTCATAGTCTTCATTTGAACTTTTTTGCAGCCCTGCTGCATTTAGGAAAAACTGCTTCACTATTCTGTCCTCAAGACTGTGAAATGAAATAACCTGTAGTCGTCCACCAGGTGACAAGCAACTAAAAGCATCGGATAGGGCAACTTCAAGGGATTTCAACTCGTCGTTGACTGCTATACGCAGAGCCTGAAAACTTCGCGTAGCTGGGTGCATACCCGGCTTCAGTCGTCCATTCTTACCTGCCACAAGACACAAGCAAAAAAGGTGACGACCTTTTGAATCTACACGAAAAATCTTGTGGTCGACTACAAGGCAGCATGATTTGCCACTGACGTGCCACTCTGACTCTCTTTGAGAATTATGATCGACGGCTATCTTACTGCATCCTCCCAAAAGAAATTGAGTGTCACATATAAAGCGGATATTATTTACATTCAGATTACCCATCAATGCAGAAATTCGAAACTGTACGTACTGAGCCTGACTTATCCGAAACCCTGTTGTGACTAATGACTCATTAACCAAGAAAGTAATTCTAAAGTTGATATGATTTACTGCTTCTTACAGCTATGTTTTGCATCTTAGATTAATAAAGAAAATCTTCCAAAGAAAATCTGCAGGCAAAACACTCAACTCAATACACATCAAGTTGTGAGCATCCTCTAAGTTTCCTCATCAAGAGCTACTCGAAAGCTCTCACAGGCATTTACGTAGGGAGGCTGACTGAAACGGACCTTGGCAGCAATTCGCAGTTACTTAATGATTGATTGATGGGTTTCCAGGTGTAAAGAAGATCAGGATAAGGTGGTCCGACCAGTAACATAAAGCAATACATCGACATCGTCGATTTTACCTACTACCCTCGGCTGAAGTTGGTTAAAGATAGCACGGAGTAACCACAGTCCAGATTATATTCTTGCGAAGACATATTCTCAGAAAGACCTGATCAGCCTATTTAACATACCTGATCTTGTAAAGGAACTGCCTCCAATAACTGCAACTAGCTCAGAGGTGGTGTTAATACCACCCGAAAGACGTTGCTGAACGATCTTCCTTGCTATGTGTTTCCATCGCCGCTCGTCACCATAATCTCTAAGAATCCGTCCCACTTCGGCCTCTGGCCACGAATTGAGTATCTCTTCTGCTTTCAAGCTTGACTGTCACCAAAGCGAAATATCAGTTACGGCAATTTAGACCTAACAGCTTCCGTTGAAGGTTTCTAGCAAGTCTAGAGACCTTCATGCGGCATTCGCAGTTGCCATCTATCCTGAACAGAACAATTAGGACATTGTGATTCTTGATTCTTGAGGAGCAAAGTAATTACACAGATTGCTGCAGTGAGTAGGGTCAAATCCTCACAGTTGGATCCATTCGCATGTCCGCAGGTCCTTCTCGCATAAAACTGAACCCTCTTTCTCCTTCATTTACCTGAAAATTAGAAAGATTCCATCCCTTTACGAACAGGACTAAAAGGGTGAACAGAACTGCCAGACGACTAGTAAACCTTCCAACACCACGAGCATGAAAACATCAGCCAGAATGTTGAGATTCATTTTCACTTAGCATGGAACCGTCACACAGCATTGACTTCTACGTGTGTAAGATGTATGACTTCCACTATAAACTAGAGAGCTCAACATTCTAGTACATTCAGGAGACTCGAAGGAAACATGCCCAAATCGCAAACTTTTACTAACAGACGATAAAAGCCAATCAGAAAGAAGAATATATATCGCCATTGACAGTTGTCCTAACTATATAGATCTTTGAATAGCTATTGAATAACACACACAGAAGAATAAATCTATTCTGATTATAACAACTAGAAGGCACCTGCATTGAAGACATGCCCAGGTCCATGAGAATACCATCAACTCCTCCATCTGCAAGCTTCGGATTCATCTCTCTAAGAGCGGTCTTGATATTTCTGAAGTTTGTTCGTATCAAGTGAAGATTCAACTCAGAGCTGGGGGATGAACGAGTGCTGATAACTTGCTGTAACCTGGGCTCAGCCTCGGCGTGAGCTACTGGATCAACATCAAACCCGACAAACGTCTCCATCTCTGAGTGAGCTGATAGAACCTTCGTTGGAGAAGCCAAAGCGAGTATTAAAAACTTCATAAACTATCCAATTTTAACCCAATCCATTGGGAAAATCGAAGAATAATTTGAATTGAGTTGACCAAAGTTTTGGTTAAAGGTCTGGATCTTTTCAAACTTCCGAAAAAAAATTCTGGAGGAGATATGGGAATCAGCAATCTTGTCAGCGGAGAGAACCATTTTCTTGGACATTTGTGTTCAAGAGAAGGGAAGTTTAGTTCGAGGCTGTAGTGTTCAACGCAGATACTCCTCAAATTGGTGGCTGCGATTATGATTTGATTAAAAAAACCTTCAAAAACAAATTACATAATATGTTTGGAAAGGAATGAATGTGGCTCCGAACAGAAAGCAGGAGGTGGAAAGCTTCAAATCGAAAATGTTCAACGCAAAAGTCTTAGACAAGAACAATGTTGGTGCTACATCTCATCTCGCTTACGAATTCCTCGTTTACAAAGAGGAGAAATTTCTACAGCAGCTCGATGAAGACTTTGACACGTAACTAAGGAATCAAGTTAAATAGCAGGACAGAAAGAAGATGAATACATACAGCGCAAGCATGGCCTCCAGCACCGAGTGTGCAGTCCACATAATTCAGCAATCGCCGACCTTCGAAGTGATCCACCACCTCCTTCAACAAAACAGGAACGTGCACCGCTTCTCTCTGCACCTCATCCTCCTCGTGCTCTTGTTCTTCGCCGTCGGAGAGCCGTGCTTTCGACTCTTCCACCAGAACGACATCTCCGGAAAAGCATGAATTCGACAGCCTTAAACCCGCGCGGCCATAGCACGGTCGTCCACCGACCTGGAACCCATAATTCCAGGCACCTCTGGTTCCCAGCGTGCGCGCGACACGAGGGGACAGCAATCGAGAAGCATTGCCGAGCGCAGCAGAACGGAATGGCGACCCGAGGGCGAGCGAGTGCCTCAAAGACGCACACACTGGAAGCATTTTCCCGAATGCCAGCCCTCCCGCGCCTGGTGCTGGAACTTCATCCCCGTCGTGAATCCTCTTTCCCACAACGGTCGGACATGCGATTCTGCCGTGCGACGACAAGCGAATCTCTTCTTCTTCGGAGTCCCTCGTCGCTACGAATTGTCGCTCTTGTGTCAAGCTCTCCCTGCAACTTGTCTTCTTTCTCTTTTTTATCCTATTTTTCATACTTGGATGTGCCATGCATGTATCATACTGGTGTGGTTATATGTCACAATGTTTGTGTAATATTGCCACTCTAATGACAGGTATGAAATAATTGCAATTTCATATTATTTCTCTTCATTTTTGTCGAAAGACTGGGAAAGTATTTTCTATCATGAAATATAACTTTTCTCATTTATAATTTATTGTTGGCTCAATTTTGATAAAGATTGTAGAATCACAAACTATAATATAAATTTGTATTAACCAAATGATAGCAAAAAAAATGTTTTAAGCACAAATTACTACATTCTTTTGATGATCTAAGTTGTGCAACTTACGCTACATATCAGTGTTATATCGGTTACAGTATTTTCTTCACAAGTTTTAGTTGAGCACTTTGAAATGTTGAAATATTACTATGGAAAAATGGAGTCATTTCAATTTAATGATCAACATCATGAATCTATTTTGCATTCAAATTTTTTTCAGATGCAATTATTTTTTTTCATTCGAGTAATTTTGTACAAAACTTATGTAGAGTGAAAGTTTAGAAATAACAAATAACAAGATCTCATTAGGATTTTTAAATTTTAAATTTTGAAATTACCATTTTTACATTTATACATGAGAGATTGATAGGTATTTTCAATGCATTCATTTTAAATTACTGTTTAAGTTTATATATAATATAAATATATATTACGACATGTGGAGTCTCCCTATTGATCGATAAAACGACTGGCAGGAATACCCCTACATTGGTGGGAGTTTATTCGTCAATTGTTTTACTAGTGGGAATTTAAGAAGTGGGGGAGAGATTAAACCGATATCAACCGATGGGGGTGTATCATAAGTCGCTTGGCCGAATTGTAAATATTGATAAAAACAAATATAACTTGAGTGACATTATGATCTTTTATTAAATTATTCGAAATGGTGTAGCATGGTTGAATATTGAGTATATTTTAATTTCGATAATCATTAAACATCATGAAAAAAAACCATGATCACTATGTCGTTTCTTAAAAATTAAGGTGAGAAAAGAAAACGACGTAATAAATATATGTCTTAGAAACCCACAATGGCGTAAAACGAAAGGCCATCGATCGTCAGATCGATCTGACGGCGTCTACATTCCATCACTTTGCAAACGTTTGCTTGTAACAGCCAGCAGCAAGCGCATGCGCCTGGGCAAAACGGGTCCTCGAATAACTGACGGTAATATCGTTTACCGCGGCTAAAAGCACCAGAGAGGAGGCAACCAGGATTGAACTGATGACCTATCGGACTGCAGCCGATTGCTCTACCACTGAGCTATACCTCCAGGTTGCACTCCAACCGTGTGTGCATAATAATATTTTGTTCTAAATTTGAAAATAATCTTGTTGAAGACATAAGAACATAAATTTCATTTATGATCCATGTTGTAAAATATTTAGAATTTATAAAGTAACTTTTTTCTTATAATTAAATAATATTAGATCTTATATTTCATTATTTATGGCTCAAATGAACAAATCATGTGATATATCATGGCATAATTTTATAATCGTATATAAAAAATTTAATAGATAAAAATAATGAAATGAGTGAGACATAGATATAGACATATCTATATCTATTTCTCAAATATTTTCCATGTAATAATCTCCTAAAAAAAAGTTTTATTGTGATCCCAATTATTTCTTCAACGGATATGATGAAGATAATCTTAGAAGGAAAATTTGTAACTTCACTTTTATATAGACGTGCAGGAGGATAGAATTTTCGTTAGAGCCAATACTACAGATATCACAAGATAATATAAATACTGCCAATCCACTCAATCGAATTTGAGCTTGATCAAAATATTATTTATGCTCTTATCAATGATCTACCGTATCCATATCTTCTCTTCTACCCTATGTGAACGAATGTTCATATCTGTTGTAACGGCACATCTAGTATTAACGAAACTATCTGTGATTTATTTAGAGTAAGGTGTCTTCCCAAAAATAAAAGTTTGTTTTTGTGTTGAAATACATGAATTCTTGGGTTGTTAAAATTAATTCGATGAGTTTTTAAGAGTGATTCTTCAAGATGATGTTGTATACATCATCTTTAAACACCTAGTTATAGAATGAATATTAACATGCAGCATTTTGAGTTGATAACCCCATTACATATTTAAAAGTTAGCAGAGATTATTACTTTTCTTATTATTACTTCTTTTTGTTTGGAGAATTGCTAGAGAGGTTGATGCTAACGTCAAGTTAATAATTTACAAATCACTCGAATTGAAAGGCTGAGATGGTTTGATCATCTATTTCTAAACTTTTGTGAAAGAAATCTGACGTTTCCAAATACCTAAGTTTAATTCTATTCTAACATATATCTTTTATCCAAGAAGGATACAGATTCAAAAAATAGGTTTTCACACACATCAGGTCATTTCTGACCAGTCAGCATAAGAGCACTTATATATGCTGTAAAGTGCGGGCTAAGACTCATTGTCACATGACACCTTCCACCTCTCATACTAAATTCAAATTCAAATTCAAATCTATAGAGTTATATAACTATTGATTGGGTTCAGTCTCTACTTAGATGAAAAAATAATAATATTTTTCTCGATAGGAATATATGAGAATGGATAACAAAGTGATTCGAGCTTGAAACATAATTTTTATCTGAATTGACAGTCCGGTGACATTCACTAATTCGAATGCGAATCAAACATCTGTTAAAAAAAATTTGATTCTCCACTCGGAATGACTGGCCATCATTTAATCCTAATATATTATTGATGTCTGAATGAAACAAGTTATGTAGATGTTATTATAAAAATCGGTATATAATCATGGTAAATAACTATCTAACAACAACAAATTTTTACACGTGACATGCACTTCTTACGCCCTAACCTGACAACATTCTTTCTAGTGGTAAGCAATAGACCAGAAGACTTCTTATGTGGGAAAAGGCAAAACTACGACTAAACCATTCCTTTTCATCACCAAGCATGTCGGAAACACAACACATGCAAATTGTCGGTGCATGTCCGACATGACTGCAGGATAGATGCTGTGCTTTGCCTAAAACTAGAGAGCCAGCTTTCCCTATCTACACAAGTAACACTTGTGGCCTTGGTCCTCCGATCATACCCATTGTAGATGGTCTCAGCATTGCAACTGACAGAGAAAACAAACTGATGGTAGACTATGTTTCCACCAGGACCAATCTCACGGCCCCGTGTAATTTTGTGAGGGACTGAAAACGACCCAGCTTTTTTGCAAGGTGATCCTTCGGGGCACCACGTAGATTGAGTCAAAGAGGACTTCAACAAACTGCCAGCGTAGTGGCATTTGAAAAGTTCTGCTAAAATCACAGCAGATTAAGGACATGGATGACTGATGCTAGACGTCTCAGAAGTTTACATTTCATTCTGTATCCTTGAAGTATCTGATGAACTTATGAACTGCCTCACTAGAAACACCTTGAATTTTTTTGAGCATATTGTTGTCTGGAATCGTGATGAGATCGTATGGAGAAAATACCGCCCGGAGAAATCATCCGAAACTTCCCAACTGACCGGGTCACATCTATTCTTTTGAGATCAAAATAGAGAATTTGCACACTGTTCTCCACCTTCTCTTTTTCGTTGACAGTCTTGAGCAAACAGCTCATTCGCTAAGCTGTTTTTGCTCGCTAACTTTCTAATTTGAGTAATGTTATGTGATTCTAGACTATTAACATGGTTCATCTCAACTCATTGACACTTTGACTCTTATAGTGTCATTTGGTATATTGCATATTTTAAGTACAAAACAATAATCAGTTGCAGTGGTTTGATGTGGTTGAGAAATTAATCATTTGCAATTAGCCCACTGTCCTGATTCACATTTACTCTTGGTTTTCTGTATAATCACGAGTAGAACACAAGGTCGATGTTCACACTTTGATGTTTCAAAAGCTCTTTAAGTGTGCAGTTGGATATGTGCCCTACTTAAGCTTTGGTGTACCATCTTTATAATGACTTCTTGGAGTCTGAATAATAAAGCAATTTTTTTATTTAGATTCTTTCTGAACCCATAAACAGAAAAACAAAATTTGACGGTTATTAAAGAAGATTATGGAGTTCTGCAGTCAGTCTTCTATTTACCAAGAAAAACTTTTATTTACCATTCAGAATCCAAGAATCCAAAAAGTCAATATAAAGATGATACACCAAGTCTTAAGTAGCGCACATATCCAACTGCACACATGAGGAACTTTTGGAACATCAAAACGTCAGCATTGACCTCGTGATTAATCATGATTATGGAGAAAACTAGGAATAAGTGTGAATCAGGATAGTAAACTAATTGCAAATGACCAATTCACCACTCACATCAAACCACTGCAAATGATTATTGGCTTGTACTTAAAATTTGCAATAATACAAATATGACACTATCAGCATCAAAGTTCAATGAGTTAAAATGAACCATGTCAATAGTAGTAATGACATAACATGACTCAAATTAAGAAATTAACGCGCTAAATCAGCAAAGTATTTCTTCTTTTACTCCTATTGTACAGTGAAAGGTGAGCAAACCTGAGCTAGTTCACAACTCTCTCGAACTATCAGAGCTACTCAATCAATAGCTCAACAGCAGACAATGCACGGCAAGAAAATACTATGAGATTTATTGCTAAGGAATCACTTTATTTCACAAGCACATCACAAGCAGAAGTAAGAAACTCGAGCAATCTGTCATCCTAAGCTCACACTGAAGTGACGATGGGTAAGACTGAGGACTCATATGTAACCTCCCATGGAATGCAGTAGCCTGGCGCGGAAGCCCTCTTTGCGCCTCTGCGCCAGGCGCGAAGAGTGGTATGATCATTTCAAGCTTCAATATCCAAATTT